TGTTGGTTGGGGATGCTCTACACAGGCTGAAGGAATTCTTTCTCCAGGTTCCTTCTCTTTGATATTCTCTCCTCAGTTACTAGTTAAGAGGGTGCAGTTGTCACCTGCCATCATTGGATGGGGGGTAGAAGTCTGAGCTCCTCACTAGACCGACACTGTTGCTATGGGAGGACATCCTGCACTAGGACCCCTTCCACCTCTGGTTAATGGGCAGAAGTCCACGCTCGCCACTTGCTCTCTGATAATACTGCAAAGGGCAGGGAGCATCAGCAGTGTTTTGCTTGGGTAGGTCAAGTATTATCAAGAAGGTTTCTGGGCACCCTCTTTTTCAGTCCTTTGCTTAGAAAGAGTAGATTTTTCTTGAAGCTTTTTTGTCTGTTCCTCTTGATGTCTCTGGGCTTTTCCAGAGCCTAGTCTGTAAGATACAGAATACAAAGACACCTCAGGGAACTCACCACAGTGTCATTCCTCACATGCTGAGGTCTTAGCCAGTCCATCTTCCTCTTTCTACTTTCCAGAGTTCTCTTACAGTTGTCAGTTATATATCAGGGTTTTTAGTTGTACTTAGTGGAGAAATGAGTCTAATCCATCTTGTTTGGAACAAGAAATACTTTTTAATGTATTTTAAATTTCTGTTTTAGGAGCAAACACATTTAAGATTGTTATGTCTTCTTGGTAACTTGACCCTTTATCACGGTATAATTTCCCTCTTTTTTTTCTTTTTTTGAGACGGAGTTTCACTCTTGTTGCCCAGCTGGAGTGCAATGGCACCATCTCAGCTCACTGCAATCTCCTCCTCCTGGATTCAAGTGATTCTCATGCCTCAGCCTTCCGAGCAGCTGGGACTGCAGGCATGAGCCACCATGCCCTGCTAATTTTTGTATTTTTAGTAGGGATGGGATTTCACCATGTTGGTCAGGCTGGTTTCGAACTCCTGACCTCAGGTGATCCACTCGCCTCGGCCTCCCAAACTGCTGGGATTACAGGCATGAGCCACTGTGCCCGGCCCCTCATTTCCTTCTTTATCCCTAATAACATTCATTGTTCTGGAGCTTGTTGTGCCTCATATTAATAAAGCTCCTCCAGGTTTCTTTTCATGACTGTTTACATGAGACATCTCTTTCCATACTTTTATTTTTAATCTATCTTTTTATTTAAAATGGGTTATTTTTGATAGTATATAGTTTGGTCTTGCTTTTTTATCCAGTCTGACATTCTCTGCCTCTTAATTGGTGCTTTAAAACCATTTCTTTAATGAAATACTGATGCAGTAGGCTTTGAATTTAATATCTTGCTGTTTTTTTCTTTGTTCCATCTCCTTTTTGTTATCTTTTTTTGCTGTCTTTTGGATTGAGCATTTTTTATTATTATATTTTATTTCTATTATTGCCTTATTACTTTACCTCCTTTTCAAAAAATTTTAGTGGTCTCTCTAGGGTTTGCAGTGTACATCTTTCATTAGTTACAGTCAAGTAATTATACAGCCTCACTTGTAAGAAACTTTTAACAGTATACTCCCAACTCCTAATTATTTGTACTGTTATTGTCATGAACTCCTTTTACATATACTATTAACACAATACGTTGCTATTGTTTGTCCATTAAACAGTTATCTTTTAGAGTAGTTAAAAATAAGAAAAAAGTGTATTTCATACTTATCTTCATGTTTACCATTTTCACCAGTTTTCACTTCTCAGGTAAGTTTCTCTCTGGTTCTACTTGAAGAACTTGTTTTAATACTTTTTGTAATGGAGAGCTGCTAATAATACTTTCTCTTAGCTTCAGAACGTTTTTGTCTTTCACTTTTGAGAGATATTTTCATTAGAATTCTGGATTGGGAGGCTTTTTTCCAATGCTTTAAAGATGTCACTCTATTGTTATCTGGCTTGAATAATTTCTGATGAGAAGTGTAATGTAATTCTTGATTTTTCTTTATATAATGTATCTTTTTCCTCTGATGGCTGCATGATTTTCTCTTTGTGTCTATGTGCATGTTGTTGTCATTTTTGGTTTGTTTTTATATCTGTGTTGCTTGATCTTTGAGATTCTTGCATTTGTGGTTTGGTGTCTTTCTTATATTTGGCAAATTCTAGACATTAGTTCTTCAACAATTTCTTTTCTTCCCTTCTTTCTTCTTCTGTGATTTCTATTATGTGTGTGTTATATTTCTTGATATTGTCCTATAGCTCTTAGAGGTGCTGTTCTGTTACAGTTTTTTTCTTTTTTTCTTTTTCCTTTTTTTTCTCTCTGTGTTTCAGATTGGATAATACCAATCCAATTTTAGGTTCACTGATTCTTTCCTTAGCTGAGTCAAGTTATCTGTTACTGTGTTGGTTTTATGTATCTCTATCTATATATCTAACATTTCCATATTATTCTTTCTAAAAGAAAGGATTTCTATTGAAGTAATTTCTACAGAAATGCCCTATCTGTTCATGTGTATTGATAAAGATGATCCTTTATCATCTTAATCATTATTTGCTTGCTTTTTCATGTTTAAGTTTTCCTTGAAAGCCAGACATTGTAGGTAAGAGTCTGAGGTGCCAGACTCTTTTTTTTTAACGTACCTATATATCACTCACAACTTAGGTTTTCCCTGTGAGCCTGTGCCTCAGAGAGGGTCTCTCTCCACGTTCATTTCTCTCCTAGAAGTAGATTGCTGTTACGTATCACTTGGATCATGCTAGGTTTGTGGTAGGGAGAAAAGGAGGGTTCTCTGTTACTCTGATTTAGCTTCAGTCTTAGGCAGGTCTTTCAATCCTGCATCTCAGGGGTGGGGCTCTTTCAGCAATCCTGCCCCTCTCCCACTGCCAGAGGCAGAGATCCTCTACGGGGCAGGGCCCAGAATGGTTTCCTGGTCCTCCTGAGGGGTAGAGGGGGTTTTTTGTTTGTTTGTTTTTGTTTACTTCCCTCAGCAACCTATGCTCTGGGGATAACATTTTTGCTGACCTTTCGTCAGTGGCTTAATGCTTTTTTTCTTCAGGGATAAAGATGTGATTGGGGCTTCCTGTCCGTCCTGCAGTGGGGGTGATTCTTTTTTCCCAGAATTGGATCTGGAGGGAGATCTTTTCTAATTTCCTGCCCTTCCCCAGTGAGCTACAGAGAGACTGAGGACTCTTGTGAGTGCCCACTGAGGTCTGTAGAAAATAGCCTGCAAGGCCGGGCACGGTGGCTCACGCCTGTAATCCCAGCACTTTGGGAGGCCGAGGCGGGCAGATCACGAGGTCAGGAGATCGAGACCATCCTGGCTAACACGGTGAAACCTCGTCTCTACTAAAAATACAAAAAATTAGCTGGGCATGGTGGCGGGCACCTGTAGTCCCAGCTACTTGGGAGGCTGACTCAGGAGAATGGCGTGAACCCAGAAGGCGGAGCTTGCAATGAGCCAAGATCACGCCACTGCACTCCAGCCTGGGCGACAGAGCGAGACTCCGTCTCAAAAAATAAAGAAAAAAAAAGAAAAGAAAATAGCCTGCAAATGGACGTGATGCCCCTTGTGTCCAAGCCACCCAGGGTTTTTATATTTTCATGGTAGCTCACCCTTGGCCTTTTGCAGTTTATCAAAAAGTTTAGCTGAGATCTTACCCAGAGATAGAGTGGTACCAATTTTTCTCGTGTGTACTGCCCTATGTCAACCAGCGCTCATGATCCCCCTCTCCTCTAAGGCACTCACTTTCTTTAGGTTTCAAGGTAGTTGATTGCCGTCTTACTTTAGCTCTGATGGATTCAAGAAAAATTATAGTTTTATAAATTATCCAGCTTTTTCTCGTCATTAGGGTGAGAGTGACATTATTTATAGCTCTCTACAACCTAAACAGAATCAGAAATCTCCCTGAAAAAGATTTAAGCCACTAAATTCTACCCAATCCTAATATAGTTTTCTTAATATCTTAGAAGAGGATATGCCAGATGTTCTTTATCTTTAGTGATACTTGTATTAATGGATTGGATAGAATGCAGATGGTCCCTGTGTTTTTCATGTTATTCCATGACTCATTTTGGAAAGGAGAGAACCACTAGCTGGTCATGTTCACAGGGAGATTGTTTACATTGTTTCTACTGGTTTTACAATATCAGGGAGGCAAAAGGTACCTCTCAGTGCTTGGAAAACATAAACTTTATATTGAGACAGTTGCATTCTTAAATGATCCTCATAAGGTCTGTGGTTTAAAAAAAATAAAACTGTATAGGGGATTATTTCAAACATACAGAAATAGAGAAAAGAGTTTACTGATTTCCCCATATGCCTACTACGCAGCTTAAACAATTATCACACCATGTTAATGTTGTTTTATCTACCATTTACGCCCTTTTTTCCATGGATTATTTTGAAGCAAATTCCAGATATAATTTTTAAGTATAAATGAGTGTAAGGGATTGTAAATTTTTATTTCATACCATATGCATTTCAGTTTTAATGTATTGACTTTGGATGCAGAAAGATAGCATTTGCAAATTCTGTGCTGTTTGCATTCAAAGGCATTTAATGTGTGACAGGGTGTATTCCAGATCTCTTTTATGTGTGTAATTGGTAACCATACCTACAGACAAAGGTTCTGGAGGCAAGGACATTTTTCCTGGTATTTGTAGACCTTTCTCTCTCCTTGAACAGTAGCCTGTTGTACTGCATTTAGTACATTGGAATTTGAGCAAACATCCCCTAATAATTGAACTCACACTAAAAAATTAATTTTCATATTTCATTGAGACTTCTGTTTAGACCTATATATTCAAAGGAGAAAGCAAAGTGACTTGACTTTACTCTTCTGGTTATACGTTGAACAACATGTGCATGTGTAAGAGTTTAGTGTTTTAACTTCATGGTTTTTTTTAACCTTTTGTTTTGAAATGGTAATTGATTCACAGAAAAATTGTAAAAATAGATCAGGGAGTTCACATATACCTGTCACCCATCTTCTAATGTTAATAACTTAAATAATTACTGTACAGTGATAAAAAAAAAAGTAATTAACCTAGTGGTTATTTTCTTATTTTAACAGCTGCTGAAATAGTTCAAGAAATCGAAAATATGGAGAAGACTAGGATGCGTCTTGAAGCTAGTAAACTCAATGAAAGTGTATGTTAATGGGCTATTTCAGTATCTGGATAGAAATGAAGAAAGAAAGTTTAATACTCAACAAAAATTAAAGCAAACCATTATTAAATTTGTTCATTTACTAAAACATTTCCACTTAGTGTATTATGATTTACTTGCAACTCCTTTTAGGACAATATCTGATTGTACTTAGCAGTCTTCTAGTACAACATGCAATTCAAAGTAGAGTTTGTTCATGAGCTAGAGTTCTATAGAAAATGCCTATGCCTGTGCATCAGGCAGCTTTGATACTGGTCCTTTCTCTGCTGGTTGTGTTCGATAAACTACCTCTAAGGACCTCTAAGCTACCGCTAGGGACCTCTATGATTCCTTGTTAGCTCTGGCATTCTGCAATTCTATGATTATACTTATGGACATGTTAAGTAATTGTAAGGATAAATTAAGTAATTTGAGGGTGGAGTATTCTCTTGAGCTTTTGAGAGAATCAGAGACCTAAAATTCTTCACTGTTGCCTTCCACTAGCTTGATGGCCCCAAACTTGAAGACAGGATACCAGTGAAGAAAATAGTCATTGTGTCCTGTGACACTGGAGGAAGTGTTTTGGTCTCTTCCAAGTAGACTTCTTTTTTTTTGTAGGCCATCTGTAGTGTGTTTGTAAGGAAAGCAATGGTTACCTTAAGAAAGTAAGTTTATAGCCAAATAAGTAGGAACAAAAATGGGATTTACATTGACCCTATTATTACCTGTGTGCTAACTGTAAGATGGGAACTGTAGTGAATTATGGAAGTAGATTTCTGATCTTTTAAGTCTGAGGTTTAAAAAGTGGACCTAGAAATTTAACTTATTGTGTTTTGTATTGCTGCATTTTCTATACATACTACTTTTCTATAATGACCTGGAGAAGTTAGGTTGGAAAGAGAGAAGGCAGACAAGAAGATCAGCCTTACTGATAGTCAGCTAAGTGTCGTCAGTCTTCTGGTTTCAAATATTGCCTGTTGTATTAATGAATGTGGAAAATTAAATATTGAAAATAGAAAATTTATTATTTTGTTAATATATAATCGAATCATGTTGCATTTTCTACTGATAAGAAAAAATAATGAGTAAAATGTATACTGTTTCTGGTATTTAAGGGAAGTCCGTAGGAATGATTCTTCCTAGGTCTATATAAAACAGATGACAGATCTTTTTCCTCTATTTTAAACACTCACATTTGAGATTTGAAAGTTTGTAATATTTCCCTTTTTATCATTTTGGGGAGATTTTTATTCAGACTTTTTTTGATTATTTTAGGTAATGGTTTTTACAAAGGACCAAACAGAAAAGGAAATAGATGAAATTCACAGTAAATATCGTAAGTTGCGTGACTTTTTTTATTTGTAAAGAGCTTCGGTTGCTGTTTTTCATCTTAAGTAATTTTTTCAGGATAATGTTTTATATTAAGGTTCAATTCAAACTTTTGTTAACATTACTTAAGAGATTGAATTTTAATTGGGTGTTACTTAGTGACTTTTTTTGTATTTTATGTGCCTGCTTTTTTGTTTTTATGACTAGCATTCTACTTTGAGCTTTGCAAATATTAATTAGCTGCTCTCAGAGCATCTCTGTGAGAAGAAGCTGGGTTTAAAATGGAAACATATGGGTGTTCTATCCTGTCCTCAGGCCACTCAGTAACAATACTTCTGTATAGGATTTCAATGCTTCTATATTTGTGCCAAAAATAGTTTTCATTTTATTGCTTGTTAGCAACCTCCCAACTTTATCACTTCCTTTTCCTTAAATGTCTATGTGTATATCTTTCCTAGGGCTAACACATTACTGTTTTGTCAATTGGATAGCTGTTATTCTTTGTGTGATTGGTTGGTTTTTAGTTTAAATTTAAGTGCCTGACGAACAGTAGATGGTTAATAGATGTTCACTGAATCAGTATTCCCAGTCATGGTGTGTTTTAATTGAGGTAAGATAATTTTTTTCTCTCTTCATTTCTTAAACTCTGAAGGCCCAGGTTCTGTAGTGATGTATTGTGGGAAGGAGGATGAAGCACACCTGCACTGGATGTAGGTGTGATCGCCTGTGCCTTGGTAGAATAGGAAAAGGACCCTAGAGGAGTCTTGGATTAGGGACTGAACAACAAAAGTCGCCATTGTTCTGTTGCTAGACAGATAAGTATGATGTGAACCTCTCTGATCAACTTTTAGGATGCCAGAGTGATTTTTTAGAAAGGAGAACAAAAGAGAATATCAAATGATCACACTGAATTGGCCTGTAAAAATAAAGCCTGTGAAAATAAGGAAACCAGAAAATTTGCATTGGGAGAAAGTAATTTAAATAACTGAAAGGGTGGCATCTAATAATTATCCCATATTAAGAAAAATTTGGACTGTATACAGTCAAGAAAATATTCATTGCCCACCACTTAGATATCTAAAAAGTAACTTTACTAAATAGATGGTATTAAATTAATTGATTTAACCTTAAAATAAACCTCAAAAGTCAAGTGCTTCACAAAGCTTAGATGCTTAGCCTTTTAGTTTATTCATACATTTTGATTTAGTGTCAGGTTCTAACTATACCATTGATATATCTTCATCTTTTAAACATTTTGTTAATGTTTTACATGTTGTTTTTTTAATCATTTACTTTTTATGAGGCTTATCATATAAAAGAGCAGTCTCTTGCTTCTTCCAACAACGTGCCTCTATTCCCATTCCCTAGAGGGAACAACTATCAAGCCTTTTGGCGCTACTTTTGGTTATTACCTTACAATTTATAAAAAGGTATTCTTTCTGCTATTTCTTGAAGCTTTTCAATTTCACATTAACTATTGATGTGCTAATATGAAAGGTGGAGATTTAGCTCATTTATGTATCCTGAGCCCTACCTTTGCTTCCTTTCCATCCTTTAAATATTATGTCATAAGTTTTTGTAAGATCAGTATTAAGTTAGATACACTGTTTATGGCTCAAGCCAGACAATTTGCATAAGATGGTTATAATTCCTTTCATCAAAACATTCTGTTTTTCTTTTTTTTCTTTTTTTTTTTTGAGATGGAGTCTCGCTCTGTCACCCAGGCTGGAGTGCAGTGGCGCGTTCTTGGCTCACTGTAAGTTCTGCCTCCTGGGTTCATGCCATTCTCCTGCCTCAGCCTCCTGAGTAGCTGGGACTACAGGCTCCCACCACCACACCCAGCTAATTTTTTGTATTTTTAGTAGAGACGGGGTTTCACCGTGTTAGCCAGGATGGTCTTGATCTCCTGACCTCGTGATCCTCCCGCCTCAGCCTCCCAGAGTGCTGGGATTACAGGCATGAGCCACTGCGCCCGGCCCTGTTTTTCTTATAATTAATAATTCTCTTTTATTTGTTTAACTATTTACCTAGTACTAACATATCTCTAAACCTTCCAACAGAAGTGTAAATCACTTTCCAGTACATTTACACACATTGATTATAACTCATTATGTTCTCAAGAACTTCTCCCCTAGGGCCACCCCTAGTCTCTGTTGTCCTGTTCCAGTCTACTGTGCTTGCCCTTTATGCCTTCTATTAATACATGGCTGCTCCTCTGGAATTTATTGTCACCAGCTTTCTGGGAATTCTGCTCTCCTCCTTCCTGTGTTGGTTCACTTCTTCCAGGTTCCAAGTCTCCCTCTTCTCTTGCCTTGTTTTGGTAGAGTACATTTTCCAGGAAACTTCCTGAGAAAGGGTGTATGCAAGCTTGTCCAAACTGCGGCCCGTGGGCCGCATGTGGCCCAGGATGGCCTTTGAATGCAGCCCAAAACAAATATGTAAACTTTATTAAACACTGTGATAATTTTTTTTTTCTTTTTTCTTTTTTTTTCGGTCATCAGCTATTGTTAGTGTTAGTGTATTTTATGTGTGGCCCAAGACAATTCTCCTTCCAGTGTGGCCCAGGGAAGCCAAAAGATTAGACACCCCTGGTATAGGGGAATTTCTTGAGATATATAACATTCCATACATAACAGGAAATAACACCTTTATTATTGATTGATAATTTGGCTGTTTGTAGAACTTTAGGTTGAAAAGATACTTTTCTCCGAATTTTCAAAGGTATCATTCCATTGTTTTCTGCTTTCCAGCACTGTTGGTAATAACTAGCTTGCCATTATGATTCTTTATCTTTCATTTATTACTTTTTTTTCTTGATCTGCCCATGTTCAGTTCACCATCAAGTTCTGTCAGTCTCTATCTTCTAAATATCCCCTGAGTTCATACACTTCTTGTATATCACTTTGCTTTCTTGTCATCCCCCATCTACTCTTGACCCTTCCTAATACTTAGAAGCCAAACTGTCTTCCAGAACTGCTGAGTCTTCACATCATTGCCATTTCTGCCTTGCTGCCCTCCTGCCGTTATAAAGAATTCTTCAGTGGACTTTCCATTTCTCTTAAGCTAGAGTTTGTAAAGTCTGTTATTTCCTGTATCTGGACCTGCTGAGCTCTCTAGCCTTGCCTCTTCTCTTCCCCTTACTCCTTGTATTCCAGTCACTCTGGATATCTTTTACCTCCTTTACCAAGTCTTTCAGTGTTTTAGGGCATTTGTTACCCTCTTCTCTCTTTGTCTGGAACTATGTCTTTCTCTAATTGCTTCTGACCCCTATCTATACTACCTACTCTCAATCAGCTCTATTGTAGTTTCCCTGGGAAACCCTTTGTGATCTCAGACAAGGTAAGATTTTCTTTCTATATGTACTTACATTATCTTGTGTTTTTTCATAGTACTATTCCATTCGTTCAGCCATAACAAGTTTTTCTAGTACTTAGCATGTGCCAGACGCTACGCTCAGAGCTAGGGATATAGGAATGAACAAGACAGACAAAAAGCCTACTCTGTTGGAGTTTATATCTTACTAGTATTTTAGAAAGTGATAAGTGAAAAAATAAAGCAAGGAAGAATATAAGAAAAGTTTAACTTTTTGATAAAATGGTCATAATCGTTATTTATTGTGCAGTTAATTAGTTTCTTATTTCTAATTAATTTCTAATTATGTGTTTTTATCAGTGTACTAGGGCTGCCCAAACAAAGTACTGCATGTAGACTGCATGGCTTAAATAACAAATTTATTGTCTCGTGGTTCTGGAAGGTAGAAGTCCAAGAGCAAGGTGTCAGCAGGGTTCTGGAGGCTAGAAGTCTAAGATCGAAGGGTCCTGAGCTTCTCAGGGCCATGCAGGAAGGATCTGTTCTAGGCCTCTCTCCTTGGCTGTAGACGGCCATCTTCTCCCTATGTCTCTTGACATCATCTTCCCTCTATGTGTGTCTCTGTGTCCAAATTTCCCCCTTTTATAAACATATCAGTTATATTGGATTAGGGCTCATCCTAATGACCTCAGGGGTGGCTTCTCTGTCATTTCCCTATCATAAGCAAAGTCCTGAGGTTAGGGAAAAAACTGTCTCGCTTAGAAAAGAAAAAAAAGCTTAAAATGAATAGTGGGGGGTTGGGGGTCTGGGATAAGAGCCTCTTGCTCTCTGGAAATGGTTTCCTTTAATCACTGTATCTCTACCCCAGTTCAGATCAGCTAGACCTCTATGAAGGGAAACAGAATCAACATTCCTTTTATCCAAAGGAAAGAGAGAGGTGGCAGGATCTTGGAAAAGAGATAGATCCAACAATTCCACATTTAGCTCACCCTTTGTCATATCCTGGATGAGCCCCCATATGATGGGATAGTTCCCTGGACCTTGATCCCCTTCGTGGGCGGGAACTGGAGTAGATCCTTTCACTCAGCCCACTGCTGGCCACTCCTTGCAAGAGGGAACACATGCTGGAACCAGCCGGATGCTCCTCTCTGGTGGGAGCAGGCTCTGTGCAGGCCCCATAGCAGCGTCCTAGCCCCTGCCCTTTCAACACGCGAGTTCTCGTCCTGTGTCTTAGGAAAATGAAGTTGCACAAATGGATTGGAGAGTAGTGTATGTGGAGGATTTTATTGGGTGATAGCTGGCAGCTGATGGGAGTTGGAAAGGGGATGATGTGGGAAGAAGGTGGTCTTTCCCTGAAGCTGCAGCATCTGAAGTTAGCTGCATTTGTCTGTAGTCTCCAATGCTCAGCTGCTTGTATCCCCGATGCTCAGCAGCTTGCATCTCTGACTGCTTGCATCAGCTGCTTGTGTTGCTCTGCCAGCTGAAGTATTTTTGTGGGCAAACAATAGAAGCATGGCAGACCAAAAAGGCAATATTTGGGTGGCGAGATGGGGTCAGCTGTTTTCACTTAGGGCCAAGGTCCCAGGCTTGAGGGTGGAGTTTAGCCAGGAGCCCAGCCATTCTGTATCTCAAGGACACCGAAGAGCTTTTGTTTATGTGGGTCATATCTATTAATATGTATCACATTATCAATTAAAACTTAGAGATGTCTGTTTCCAGCCATGGAATAGCTTCATTTACTCTCTTACCTAAAACAAGCAAAATGAATGTACAAAGTATATGAAATAGCAATTTTCAAGATACTGGCCATTGGGCACCAAAGGATAGGGATCCTTGAGAGGTAAGCAAAAAATGTGATGAACCTTATACTAAAGTTTCCTGGCTATAGTGTGGGCAAGTGGGTATTCCAGGCAAAGCCTGGAGACTCTGAGTTAAGGAGAAAGAGCTGAGAGATCAGAGGAACCAAAGGAGTTAGAGTTTGCAGGACGGAGTACTGGAAGGAGAAACCCAGTGATCTGCAGAGAGTTCACCTTGAGTATTCATTTGGCATGCAAAATACATTCTCTGACCACAATGAAATTAAATTAGAAATCAGTAACAAAGCCCTTGGGAAAGTCACCAAATATTTGGAAGTTAAATAATCCATTTCAAAATAGCCCATAGGTCAAAGAAGAAATTAAAACCAAGAAATTTCAAAAATATTAACAATGAACCCATTACATGTTAGCATAGATAACATATTTTGATTAAAAAAAACTGTTTCCCCCTCTCCAAAAAATAAAAATAGAGATTTCTATTAGCCCAGATGGAATAACAGAGACTATATTTACTCTCCTCCATGAGAAAAAAAAAAAAAGAAAAACCTAGAAAAGCAGGTGAATGTTGAATGGTTTTTCAGATAATAGGAAACAAACGGGTAGCATAGGACTGTGATCTCTGAGATAGAGAGAAAACAAATCATGACTTAGGCCAAACGTTGCTGTGAACAGACAACATTACATTTCACAGAGATAGAAGGGAACAGGGGTTTCACAGCTTGGAAGCAGCAAACCTTGAAAAGACCAGCCTCAGAAGTATTTAGAGGTCAGAAGTATTTAGAGTTGATTGAGACCAAATTGGAGGTGAGGAAATGAAACCATTAAGGTAGACAACTTTTTGGGGGAGGTTTTAGTGTAAAGGAAAGCAGAAAAATAGGGTCATAGCTGGAGGAGGGGTGTTGGGTCAAGGGAGGGTTTTGTTTGCTTTTTTTTTTTAAGTTTATTATTTAAGTTGGGAGATATTTAACTCAGTGGCTTTCTGATCTTTTTGACTACAACCCACAGTGAGAGACACATTTTATATCACTACTAACTGTATACATACACGTGACTGAAACAAAGGCTTCACAAAATGGTATTTGCCTTTTCCATTTTTAATGCATTCTGATACTTTCTATTCTCTTTATTATTTCAATAAGAAAAAAATGCTGGTCTGGATTTACTGAGTTGTTTTCATAATTCACACTCTAGGTTCGAAGGCACAGTCTCTCTGTTCACAGCTTCATGATGGAATCCCGAACATAAGTTAGAGGTTAGCCTTTAATTATAGCAAGGACAGTTGTTTCATGGTAAGAACAAGGGAAATAGATCATAAGTGCACAGACAAGTTATACTGGTGCTTGAAAGATGACAGAGTTTCTGTTAGAATGATTCTATATTTTTCAAAGTAGTGCGAGAGCAACTAAGAGAGGCCACGTGGGGAGTGTTGAATATTTGAACAAAGAGAAAAAAGTGTAAGATAGATATTTTGGAGAATTGTAGAGAAAACTTTACTAGAGAAAGGTGCAAGAGTTGTAAAGCAGTATTGAATGCCCATTTGAGAATTATGATCATGAAATTAAAGTGTCACTAGTCAGTTCAGGGCTAGATGAATAAGCCTGTGGTGAACATTAGCCGTAACTGTTAAACTCTGTTTTTCATCCACGTTTAGCTGGTTGGCTATAATAGGTGGTATGATGGTGAAAGAAATATATGGGATTTTACTTTGGCAAACACTGACTCCAAACTCATTTCTTGATTTAAAGTGGACGAAGTATCTCAGTGGCATCACTGTAGAAGGGTGTGAGTCTTTTCTACTCTTGAGAGAGCCTTTTTTTAGTCTTTTGTGCCACTGGGTTCTGGGTTCTTGGGCAGACCCAGAGACACTCTGACTGTAAGGGCTGGTCTGAAGAAGAGTAGTTAAAGTGATCAGGGAGTGAAGGGCTTGACTTGGTACTAAAAAAGATTACATTTAAACTTGGAGAGGAACTAAGGATGGAATGATCCAAGTATTCAAAATCTGGAAGAAAATGAGTTGGCTGAATGTGTACTTAGCCATGGACACTCCCACGACTAGCTGAGCCACTTAAAACTTCTAAGAGGTAAATTCAGGACATATACCCACCAGAACTGAGATTTTAAACTCTACAGTACTCCTTGCCAAATGGCAAATCTTCTAAAATGAAGTAAAGAGGTAAGTGGGAACAATGTTACTAGTCTTGATCTGTTGACATTTTTCATTTTCTGAGTAGGGGTTATTGGAATTCTCTGGCTAAAGCCAGAGTAGTGGCTACCATTTACTTTTGGTTTCCAGCCTAGCTCTGGGGTAATTAGATTTAAATCTGGGATTTTATTACTTCAGAAGATAATAAGTCATTAAACCTTCTTAACTGTTAATGCTATTACTTTAGCAAATTTCTTAACTAATTCTTAAATCTCCAGTCTTTATGTGTACAGTGGAGTGGCCTTAGTAGGAAAATAGCTTAGACCTGGTCTAACTAAATTGTGTAGATCCCATAGTACTGTGTCACCCTAGCCTAATAGAAACTACATAATGATGGTGGTAGTGTTAGCCCATTGATTCCAAGGAGCCAGAGAAATACAGGATAGTTATCCTCAAGTGCGTAGAGTACTTAAAAGAAATCACCTAGCTTGTATCCTAGATAGGATCTTACTTGTTTGTAAAGAGTTAGTTTCCAGTAATCTTTACGTCCAGGATATATTTCTTTTACTGACGTTTTAATTAGTCTCTTATTTAAAATGTACCATACATTTTATAGCCCAACACATTAGTTTCACTAGAAGTTTTCATACATGTACCATACACATAAAAATATTGTAATTAGGAGCATTCTTTCCTGAATGTCTTTGCTGTGCCTTTCAATATTCACGTATAGGAATCCAACTATTTTCTTCCTTGTGCATCACAATTTAGTTTTTCTCTTTTCGTGTTAAAAGATAATTTTCAAAAACAAGTAACATCATTCTCATACGGATGTAAAACGAACATGTGTTTTTATTAAAGATTTAAGCTCATTAGTAGAGAGAGGGCTGATATTATGAGGTGATCAAAGAAGGAGCCAAAGAATCATCACATTTACAGATGAGGAACATTGAAATGAATGTATAATGGGTAGAAAACTGGCTTCTTCCACATTGGAGGACGGAAGTCAATTGAACCTCCACCCAACAGGATTTTGCATATCTATAGTCAAGAATTATTTTCCATTGCTCTCAGTTATCTACAACATATACCATAGCTCAAAGGCAGTGAATGTCTGGAATCCTGGGAGAGTAGATTTAGACAATGCCATAGTTCAACTGAAGCTCAGTTTTTTTCCCTACACCCAGTAAATTCCTTATTCCTTAGTATTGTGCTAAGGAAAATGGGAGAAACCAAGTGATAAAAAGTACATTGTTGATTTTTGTATGAAAACAGTGTCAAATTTTTGTTTTAACCATTTGTAGTATGGTTCTCTCTAAAAATTTTACAGGATTTATGACATTACTTTGGACTGTGGCCTAAGTGTTTAACATTGCTAGATAAGTAAACTGCAACCTCAGCTGCATGGTTCAGAATCACAAATACATGCCCTAAAGTCCGTGCAGTAATGATGACTGGCTGCTCTTTATTGAACAAATTGATACATTAATAATGGTGATCTTGAGGTCAGGGTTAATTATATTCAAAGATGTTAAAATGGTAGTAAATAAAGATTCGAGTTAGTATAGTATCCTAAGATAAGGTAGAATTGGTTGGGAGAGGTCTTAGAATCTTAAAGGGGCTCGCTCTACTGGGAAACAGGCCAGAAATGTGAAGGAAAAAAAGAGCTGGAGTGGATATCCTTTGTTATTATGATTCAACTTTCCTAGAGGCTTCTATTTTAGATCCAGTGAATACTCTTAGTACTCTTGTATCTTGGAAGTTAGAATGGTATCATTTGTATATATTTAAGAAAGCGTGCATCTTTCTTGCTCTTATGATTATGTAAAAGCCTCTCTAGAGAATGGAGTTTGGGAAGAAACCTAGAGTAGCAAACTAGGAATATCATGTTTCCATATTTGTATTTGAGGAAGAGAGAAGATAAAAAGAATCTTCCATGACACTGCAGCCCTTTGTATTCTTATGCTTGGCAGCTTTTAAATTTATTGCAAGTGATTCCTATGGATGCTGTTCTTGAGCAGTCTGGTACACCTCTTTTTTTTTTTTTTCGAGACAGAGTCTCGCTCTGTTGCCCAGTCTGGAGTGCGGTGGTGTGATCTCGGGTCACCGCAACCCCTGCCTCCCAGGTTCAAGTGACTCTTGTGCCTCAGCCTCCTAAGTAGCTGGGATTCTAGGCACGCAATACCACGCCTGGCTAATTTTTTTGTATTTTTAGTAGAGATAGGGTTTCACCATGTTGGTCAGGCTGGTCTCGAACTCCTGACAAATGGTCCACCTACTTCAGCCTCCCAAAGTGCTGGGATTACAGGCGTGTGATACCACGGTCGGCTAATTTTTTTGTATTTTTAGTAGAGATGGGGTTTCACCTTGTTGGCCACGCTGGTCTCGAACTCCTGACAAGTGATCCATTCACTTCGGGCTCCCAAAGTGCTAGGATTACAGGCGTGAGCCACCACGCCCATCCCTTGTACACCTCTTGATATTCAGTTTGTCAGTTGTGGATGGTTAACTTTCATTGTCCTAGCTTTACTGTGAAGATCTTTTGAATTTCAGGTAAGAAACATAAATGTGAATTTCAGCTTCTGGTGGATCAGGCTAGAAAAGGATACAAGAAAATTGTTGGAATGTCACAAAAAACAGTAACAATAACAAAAGAAGATGAATCTACAGAAAAGCTATCTTCTGTATGCATGGGTAAGAAACTATAATTAAAAACAGACATATGTTGAATTTCATTATTTACTTTTAATATGAAAAGAAAATTAAACCAAGGAAATTTACTTTGGAGGAAATGAGGAAAAGTATTTTTAGACAAACTTCATGTAGCAGTTTGTAAACTAGATTTATTACTGTGCGGAAAATGGTTGGAAGAATGTCCTGAAGAAACAATCTCTTTTTGTCTATCATTCTTTCAGTTAATGACAAATCATAAATTTCTTAGTTATTTAAGCTTGAGGATGTTTTCTAGGTGTAGAATTTATTGGTAGAGATCCTGAGAGATCCTGTAAGAGAGTGAATTATTTTTGTGATAGAACACTGGTGTTTACTTTGGATGAAATGTTCTGCCAAACAGTCTTAAGCTAATATACTGGTAGGCTAATACAGAGCACATTCCTTAACTTTGATCCATTTTAAAATTTGAAATTAATATTTTAATTCTATTGCCTGGGCTTTGGACCAGTGAACAAAAAAGAATCATAATGGGGGAAAGTGTGCAAGAAAATTCCTTATCATGTTTTTCTATATTGTGGTAAAATATATATAATACAATATTTATCTTTTTAACCCTTCATAAATGTATAAGTCATTGGCATTAAATACATTCACAATATTGTATAACTATCACCAATGTCTATATCCAAAACAATTTCATCATTCCCAGCACAAGCTCTGCACTCATGAAATAGCAACTGTTCCATCCCCTCTGCCTCATAGCCCTGGTAATAACGGTTCCACCTTTTGTGTCTATGAGTTTGCCCATTCCAGGTACCTCATATAAATGGAATTGTATAATATTTTCTTTGTGTGTTGACTTCTTTCTCTAAGCATAATGCTTTCAGAGTCCATCAGTGTTATAGCATATTTTAAAATTTCTTACTATGATTAAACAGTATTCTGTAGTATGTATATGCCTATTTTGTTTATCCATTTATCTGTTATGGTTATTTCCACCTTTTGGTAATTATAAATAATGCTGCTATGAGCATTGATGCTCAGATATCTAAGTTTCAGCTTAGAGTGGGATTTCTGATTCATATACTGGTTCTATATTTAACCTTTTGAGGAATTGTTAAACTTTTCCGTAGTGGCTGCATTATCTTACATTCCCACCAGCAAAGCATGAGGGTTCCAGTTTCTTCACATCCTTATCAACGCTTGTTATTTTCTGATTTTTAAATTTTTTTTAAATTGTAGATGCGAAATGGTATGTAATTGTGGTTTTGATTTGCATTTCCCTAGTGACTAATAAACAATTTGTGCATAAGGTGCTGCCTCAGTATATAACTCATGGTCTTTGAACAAATCGAACTTGTTCATGCAATTGTGAAAGGATATTTCTAGAAACTAGTTTAGCACTTGAGAAAATCTGACTGAATATTTCCCATTAAGAAAACTTTTTTTTATTAGTTGAACCTCTCTTGAATATCATTGATGGCTTGTATGTATTTATGAACATCAATATTACTCTTTCTGGGGTTCAAAGGTGATTGCTGCTTTTAGATTGCTGTGCATGAATGAGATGTCTGAGAGGGTAAGGAATGTGAGAAAGGTGAAGATAGACACAGACTGACTGAAAAGATGAATTTTGTATAGCATCATACAACGAATATAATTGTTGCTCTTTAGGATAAACATTGAAGTGCTCATGTAAGTGAACAAGTTGCATATTCTCTCAAGTGAAAACTTAGCCTGTTTTTATTGTTTGTCTCTGGGGAGCTCTGATGTCTGAGCCTCACTCCTGAGGCTCTATTTTGAAGTCCTGCATTCTGAGATCTAAGGGCAGGTAGGAAGGATAACTTATTTTTTATGCCTACAGATTATTGAATGCTGTTTGTCCCCAAGAAGGAATATATTGTCTAGAAGTGTATGTAAGAGTGGAAGAAGTAAGAAAAGAATACAGACAATGTGCAAAAATAAAAGATTGTTTTCAGTTGAATTCCTGTTCCCTGGTTTGCCAGCTTTTTTGCATGCGCCTCACTAGTTGAGTAATATAGTTCCTGGGTGAACCGAGTTGACTGGGGGATTGGCTTCTCTTAATGTGATCCTGGTATCTGTTTACAAGAGGAGTTCTTAGAGGTTCAGAATGGTCATCCTGGCTAACTTCTTTTTCTCTTTTCCAGATATACTTTAGAGGGTGCTGTTTTGTTTTGCTAATGATAGTTTATTGATAGCCAGATGACATTAGGAGCATATTTTTAGGAATTATACTCTTGTGAAGTATGCTGTTCTCCCAGTATAACAAAAACTTAGAACTATTTCTGAAAAAAATTTGACTGTGTGAACTTGGCAAGGTTTTTTGAAGAATGTGTTATGTTCTTTCCCCATAAATTCTCTCTATATAACCAAACCTTGACAATTGTATTTTTATTGTGCTTCGTTGAAGACCACTTGCCTCTACAAGTGCTTGAGGAGTGATGTGTGAAAGCTCTGTTTCTCTGTGAGGAAACACATGAAAGGAGCTCTGTACTATTATTAGCACGTGTAGCTTGCATGCGAAAGTACCTCCTCAGTTCCTGAAAGTTAAGGACAGCACAGATGAAAATCCCAGCAGAGTTTATGATGAGTAGGAGAATCCTGGGCACTAAAGAATCTTTCACAGATATTCTTCTCACTCATATTTGTAGAAAATTGGCCATTCCCATATGCCACATTTTTGTAAACACTGCATCCTTCCAGCTTTTTGGGGTCTTTATTTTTATCTGCAATAAGAGACCTTAAAAGCTGAGAATATGGCAAAGAATGCATGGAAATGTGATGTATATTGGATCAAATGGAAATATTCCTTATGTCTGATTAGTTGTCCTTTTCCATAGAGAATAATTAGATTCTATTTAACAGGTTTAGAAAAATGTCCAGATAGATTCACTATCATATAGTGGTGACAAATATTGTGGTTGTCTTATTAGTTGAATCTGTAGTCTTTTTTTTTGGTTATACTTCTTACGTTGGTTTGTCAGTGTTCTCTGATCTATGAAATATGCAAGAATTCCTTAGTGATATGTTAATAGATGCCTCATTAGAATTACAAGATTCTTCCTGCTCCTGGTTTTAAAATAAATTTTATTTTTAAACTAATTAATCTTGGAAAAACATGGGCTGGATAGTATAATTAGGTAGCACCATTGTAGTGTTAATTCTTGCTCTCTGGCTGTCACTAGAGTTCTGGAATCAATGTGACATATTCTTCAACTTTACTAAGTGCATATGGCAGTATTAAGTGTTGCAGAAGTAATAGGCGTACAGAAGTTGTAGATTTTAACGTACTCTTAAATTTATTTTTTCCTAGGACAGGAAGATAATATGACCTCAGTAATAAACCACTTTTCTCAATCAAAGCTGGTAACAAACCACTTTTCTCAATCAAAGCTGGACTCCGCAGAGGAATTGGAACCTGACAGAGAAGAGGATTCTTCTAGCTGTACTGATATTCAAGAAGCTCTTTCTTCACCAGAATCAGATTCATGCAATAGGTAAGAAACATGCAGTAGTTGATTATTTTAAATATCTACCTCATATGCACACATAGATAGTTAGGCAGAAATAATTAGAAAGTAGCTTTGAGGCATGGTATGGTGTGTCACTCTTACATTTCAGTCCCCTTTTACTGCTGGGTCATCTTCACAGTGGTAACAAGGCAGGATTTGGGAAGGAAGTACAGGGATCAGAGGGTGAGTTTGGTACAGCCTTTATATAGCCTTTTTATAGATATTTTTCCTACCGTTGGAAAAGAAAGCATGATAGGCAGTGAAATTTTTGTCAAGACAATGAGTGAAGGAGATAAAAACAACTGTATTGGAAACAGAGATGATCAGAAAGACATGGCACATAGGAGAGTTAAGAAATGAAAAATTTAACTGAGTAAATAGATGGGGAAACTTTAAAAATGAGAAGTTTGGTAATGAGTCATTTTGAAAAGATATTTTAAAAATATATAGGGTTTATTTTACACATACACATGCATGCACACATACCATTTTTTGTTCTGGTCTTTCACTTAATATTATGTCATAAATGTTAACATTTCTATAGGTTGGCACAAAAGTAATTGAAACCACAGTTAATTTTGCACCAACATAATACCTTATGTTTATAATTGTTATTTTTAAATGAGTACAGTATTTTGTTATGTCTCTGTACCATAATTTACCAGACCCTTCAGTTTCTGTTAGAGCTCTGCATTTTTTCCAGTGTTCTACTTACGTGCCTGATGCTATGGTAAAGCTCTTCCTTTGTTCCTATTGAATACTTTTTTTTTTTTTCATTTTTTCGAGATGGAGTTTTGCTCTGTTGCCCAGCCTGGAGTGCAGTGGCGCAATCTCAGCTCACTGCAATCTCTACCTTCCAGGTTCAAGCATTTCTCCTGCCTCAGCTTCCCAAGTGGCTGGGATTACAGGCCTGTGCCACCTCACCTGGCTAATTTTTTTTGGTATATTTAGTAGAGATGGGGTTTCACCGTGTTGGCCAGGCTGGTCTCGAACTCCTGACCTCAAGTGATCCACCCACCTCAGCCTCCCAAAGTGCTGGGATTATAGGCGTGAACCACCGTGCCTGGCCACTTTTCTTACATTTATTATTCTGATAGGTAGGCATTGCCTTCCGAATGTATTGTACTGATTTAAAAAATGCTACCAGCAGTATGTCAATATGAGTGTGTCTTGGAAGTTATTTGATCTTTGATGTTAGTTTATTTAAAAATTAGTAACATTGCTGTAGAATGATAGACTATTTCTAATCTAACTAATGGAATTATTAGTAAATTTTTTATTAGTATACCCAGTTACCCTCTGTTTTTGTAGGATACCTGGGAAACAGTTTCAAATTAGTCAGAATGAAGTATTAGGAAGGAGAAATCTTCCCATCTCATTCCAAAGATTTTCAAGATCAAAAAATTATATTTCTAGTTGACTGAGGGTAAAACATATGGTTGCGTGATTTGTTATCATAGATCAAGCCATTCCTGCAAGTCCAGTGCAGTATTTGTTTTTAAACACACATGTAGGAATACAGGAAAAAAAAAAAAAATCAGAGTCAGGGGAATAAGAATTAGATTTTAACCATAGTCATTAGATGCTTGAATGTTTTGGAATGCCAGAATGATTTGGGACATTTGGGAATGGCAAAAACTGAAAGGGAAACTTGGGGCAGTCAGATGTCTTTATCTGGTTGTGAGAATATGGGAAATAGGGCGAGTTTGTTGATGTCCTAGCCTCATTCAGACTTGTTGGCATCACTGAACTATGAGAGGACTATGGGAAAATGTCATTGCTTTTAGGTATACCATGGCTGAGGAACTAGGAGAGCAAGCAGTAGTCTCTGGGTTTAATAAAAAAGATAAAGGAAATATGGCTGAGGGAAATATGGAGTAAACTTTATTGGGTCAATTTACTAAAATGGGTTAATCCAAAGGCTGATCATTGTAACTCATTACTCACTGAAAGAATTGAAAAGTACTTTCACACTTATCCCCAGTCACATATTGCTCCTGCTGCTACTTCATTAGGGGATTAGCCTTTTCTCATTATTTATCTTCCTACTGACCAAGATTCTGGGTAATATTATAAGTTTTACCATCTTTAATGATTTCCTCTTGATAGGAGTCATATAGGGGTATCCTTATACTACATTGTGAGGTGATCCTTTTGTTAGCAACTGAACGTAAGTACAGTGATGCTAGATTAACTTTTGTTCTCTGTCCATCACAGGGTCTGACATTACACTATTGCACTCAGCCATTCAGCAAATATGTATTGTGTTCCAGGCACTATTCTAGACACAGCAGTTTAGCAGGGATGAAACCATCAAATAATTTTTTAAAATGTAAGCACTTATATTCTACTTCACATTATAATTAGTTGGTAATATATGTACATATTTCTGCATGCACACACACGTACATGGCTCAGTGGAAGTACACACTAATTACATATTTTAACAGTTTTATTGAGATACAATTCATATACCACACAGTTAACTATTTAAGAGTACAATTCAGTGGTATTTAGTATATTCACAGAGTTGTACAGCCATCATCACAATTTTATAACATTTTTATCACCCCACAGAGAAACGCTGCACCCATTAGCGGTTACTCTCCATTTCTTCCCAAACCTCCTGCTCCAAGCCCTAGACAACCACTGATCTTCTTTATGTCTCTATAGATTTGACTCTTGTGGACATTTTATGTAAATGGAATCATACAATATGTGGTCTTTTGAGATTAGCTTCTTTCACTTAGTTTGCTCTCAGAGTTCATCTGTGTTGTACATGTTTCAGTACTATATTACTTTTTATTGTCAAATATTTAATTTTATGGATATACATTTTATTTACTCATTTGTTAGTTGATGGACATTTGAGTTGTTTCCAGTTGCAATTTTAACAAGGAAAAAAATCACCAAGTTTGCTTGCACACTGTGGAAGCTTAGCTTTAGTGATGGTATGTAAGGATTTACTAGGCTTGCTTTGAGAAAGTGGGCAGTGTCTCCTCTAGTACTCATGTCTTAAATTGTACTACAATACTAAATATTTACTCATTGTAAATATTAAGTATGGTAATCTTTACATTTTTTATTTTATTTGGGTTCTTTTTTATGTCTGTTTCTGAATCATTCTGCTGTTTTATCAATCCTAAGATCTTTAAGCTTAAAAGGTGGAGTCTATTTCTTGTATAAGACCTAGAAACTAAGGCTAAAGGGAAAGTCAGAAAGAAATGGACCTTAAATAATGGTGTTGGTTTAATATCAGGACAGACCACTTGGCAAATGATTCAAGAGTAGATTGTCAAAGAGTGAGCATACAGCAGGAAGCAGCTATGGGCTAGCAGGAAAAGTAGTTGGCTTTAAGTTGATGGATTACAGATCAAGTTCTGCCGGGTGATTTTTGATTCAGTCTTTTGAAGTCCATTTCCATATATCTTAGAGAAGCACATTAAAATATCTTATGTGTCAGATCTGTTGGGAAAATGAAATGAGATAATAGATGTGAGAGTCATTGATAAATATATGATTGTTATACCTTCATAAAACAAATCAACTAAATTTTCTCCCTAATTCAGGAAATTAGGACTTATGTCTGGACATTTTTTATTAAAAACTTTTTTTTTTTTCTTTACAGAGGTAACCAAGTTAAATGATTAAGCATTTAGAAGTGCTTTCACAGCCCTCATTTTATTCATTTTAAGACATACGTTTTCAGTTTTACATTTTAATATCTGAAATTGTAATATGTCTTCTAATCAGCAATAACTTAAAATTGCTGATGGCCTGGTTGTAGTCATGAGGTATTTGCCAATGGGTGTACGTCACAGCGCTTCATGGTATCATCATTGGGTTGGGTTACATGTATTATTGGCATTCCATTAGTTAGTCACGTAATATGTCTTCAACAAAATAATGAAACCAAAAAAGTTATTATGCATGAAGAAAAGTGCAAAAATAGCAGCAAGATTTAAGTTTGATGTTAGGGAGGTAATGTTCATCATTGGGTGAATGATCTGAATTTTGTGTTTTCTTGAAAAACAGTCAAGTGCCTTACAGGATCTAGGAAAGAAAGATACCCACAAGTATATGAAGACATGTTACATTATGTGTGCAAAGAATTGCCTATTTGTTACATGACAGACTGAAGGCAAGAGAAATGGCCAAATCCCTTGGAATAAATGGAAGAAATTTCAAAGCAATAACAGCATAACTAATTCTGTTCAGCATGACTAATGCAAAAGAATATTGCTAAGGTTTATCAAGTGTCAATTTGTCAGACACTTCTCCTTTAACAGAAACTGCTTATCTGCCAACATATGCAATGTGATTGAGGAAACAAAGAAAATTATGAGTTCAGTTTGCAGAATGGATATCAGTGTTTTAGATCAAATTCCTGGAAACAATAGTCTAGTACATCTGAGAAATGCTGGTGCTCTTGGTGGTGCAGAGGATGAGTTTTTGTGGAAAAACTCAGTTATCAGAGATGCTGAGTCAAAATATGATGAAGTAGAGTTGGGGTCTGAATATGAAGACAGTTTAGGAATACTTTAGCCAATTTAACTCAGTTTTTACAAATATATGTACAACAATAGCATAAAGTAAAAACCTATGTCTATCTAAGTTTAACTCTCTGGATACGTACAAATTAAAAATTCTAATGAAATATTGTATCATAGTTGACCTCAATTTTTTGTCTTTTAGTGGCAGATAAAATAATGCTTCATCTTGCCATCAATGTTATCTTCAATTTTGTGATTAAGGTCCCTGACTTACTTCAAACATAATTTATATCATCTAGTTGGAAACTCATAAAGTGGCTTATAATACTGGTTGGTGGTAGCCTGACAGAAGACTGTCACAAAGTATTGTGAATCATTGCTTAGTGCCAGTGTTATTTAGTGACTCTGAAACTTAGTCAAGAGAGACACCCATTTGATTCGGGTAACTAATACCATAGAAATTAGGAAAAGATTCAAAGTTAGAAGGGACCA